ACAATATCATAGAGCTGTCATAGGCACTATCGGCATATTTATACCCAAATCTTTAGAACTACGGTTATACAAACGATTCGTTTTTTGAATATCACAAACAGAGAAATACATAGTTAAACTCTATGCAGATATTAATATTTTTGCCCTACAAGGTGCTATATGAAATTTGATGGTGTCACTTTCAAAAGGGCAAAGAACAACACCAAGTACCATGAACTGTTTCTAAAGATCTTATTCATATACATATCTGAATTGGTTTTCCACAAGTATTTGCTCTGGCACTGCTGAAACACATAAAATGAAAAGTGTTTTAATTTTTGCTCCACCTTTTTAGTCAAATTTGTTTCACGAACAAATTACGCGCATTCTTAATAACATTATTGTAAATGCATTGTCGGCACAATAAGACAAATCGACTACAATAATTTGGAAGTTTTGACATGACGTCACATATTAGTTTGAAGAGTTCGTCACCTTAACCTACACTCTACATATGATTTTAATTGCATGGTATGGTTATATCATCTTTAACTTACGGAACCTACCTTCCAATCAGCTTTTTTAAAGTGATTACTGTTACAGTCTGGTATAATTATTAGTTATTTACTATCTCAGACAAGTAAAGATATTTCAACAGAGTTGTAGGCTTAGGACCTGCTTTAAAACTAATTCGGTTACAGGGAGACACATGTTCAGCTACGCCATTGCGAAAATTGCCAAATGCGTCAATGCCCAAGCACAGTTTACAATCACGTTCACAGTCACATCCCTGCAAACCACTTGTTGGCTCAGATCCAATAACCAAAAAGAAAAAATAAAATAAAACAACAAAATGCAGCAACACCAACAATTGTGTCATCCCATGTCCCCCTTGAAACTCGCAACAAGGTTATTGCAATAGGGCTACAGCTGTCTTTATCTAATCGGTGAGAGAGAGTTGATGGGTGTTTAATACACTGTCTGTGTTACTAGTTTTTGGGGTAGGGTTAAGGAAAAAAATATATATAATATATATATACTTTATGGGGTCGGAAACGGTTCCTTCTACCTGTTAAATACTTTCCGACGAATATAATATACCCTTTTACCCTACAAGCAATGGGTATAAAAATGGGTCCAAACTTTGTGGGGACAAGCCTTAAACAATTTTTTTAACCTTAATTTGTTTCAATTCTGAAGAAATTAAAATATTTTATTTTGAAAGATGTTTGACAGAAATAAATACAAAAGAAACGAAGTCGATCGGATTACTACAGCTAGAGATATCTACTGTGGGCAAAAAGTGAGGTGAATTTATTTGTTCGTGGTGTGGTGAACTATGAATTCCTTCCCTCCGACCAAACTGTAAATAAGGAATGTTATGTGAGCGTTATGCGTTTCGAGTCGTAATAAAATGAACATCGTGAATATTACAAGAGTGTATATCGCGAGTTATATATGTGTATGAGGCATAAGTGGCGGATTCTGTATTGGTTATGGGGAGAATAAATCAGAGTAAATTGAAACCATAACTGAAACCATAATACCCTCTGCAAGGGTATATAAACACAAACATAAATAAATTAAATCTTTTTTATTTTTTTACGATTTAAGTTTGCATATTACCTGCCTTTTCTAAATTTTGTTTGCCCCATTTCTTCTATAACGATTTGAATTACAAAAAGCAGTGTTTCGAAGGCATTTTGAAAGGTCCAAGACGTAAATAAATTTTACGGTATCTTTAAAGCTTTAAAATATATATATTTAATATATACATGGTTGGGAACGTTTTACCAAGCCAAAGTTCATTTTTATTGAAATGTACCTAAAACAGAAATAATTGCTATAGTCAAGAGCCTCGAGTATTAGATAAGCCACCACAAATGTTTTTCGCCCCTCGAATTGCGTCCCTTGCGTTTTTCAACACTGTCTGTTTGACATTCAGCAACTGTCAAAAAAGATATACTTTTCGCATCAGCTCTACAGAGTTTCAAGATCCATTAAAAAACTGCGTAAGCATCGACTTGCTTAATATATTTATGTGATGAATTTTATTTTATTTGCATTTATGGATAAAAGTTTAATTGATCTTAGGGGGACTTACGTCTTTTCTTGCGCTATATCAATTTGCACATTGTAATTTTTACAGCCTTACATGATTTATATACCTTTGCAGAGGCTACAATGATTTCAGTCAGAAAGTTGCAACGCATTGAAGGATAAGTTTTCGACCCTGTAAAGTATATGTATTCTTGATCAGCATCACTAGACGAGTCGATCTTGTCATGTCTGTGTCCGCTTCTACAAAATCTACTTATTATAAGACACTTAGAAATATTTTTGTTTAACTGTTGCCGTTACTCGTAGAGAAAAGGGGTGTCCTATATTCATCGGAAAGTATGTAACAGGTAGAAGGAAGCGTTTCCGACCCTATAAAGAATATATATTCTTGATCAAGATCACCAGCCGAGTCGAGTTAGCCCTGTTCGTCTGTCTGTCCGTCCGTATGAACGCTGATATCTCGGAAACTATAAAAGCTAGAAAGTTGGGACTTGGCATGTAGATTATTGAGTTCATGCGCAGTGCAAGTTTGTTTCAGCAGGGTTCCACCCCCACTTTTACTCCCATAACTCTAAAACCCGTCTAGCACACACATTTTTGAGTAATTTAAATGAGAGTTTGTTTTCATTATCAATGTCCAACTACATGCCAAATTTGTCAATTCGGGCCGGCCCATTCATTAAGAAGTTATAAGCATTATAAGTACAGAAAATTACCCCTTGTTTCCTGATCTTCATTGGAAATCTTATAAAAATTATAAGACACCAATGATTTTAGGCACTTCCGATGGTCGAACTAAACAGATTTTTTGTGTTCTTAAATATAAGCAAAAAGAGTCGCTTTTAAAAGAAATCATCTTCAAAAATCATTTCAAGCTTCGACCCGCGTGTATGTAATAAAGCATTTCTCCCTATTCTTTAAAAAAATCGTTTTCGAAGTATTCTCGCACTGTATACGTCGTAATAACCCAATATTTTTTTCTGGTCAGTATTTCATTACGTCCATAAAACAAATTACCAAACACTTTTTGTATAGTACTTCTGGTGTGGAAGGATGCATTATAACAGAAGATCTCGGTCGATTTTTTTCTCAAAATGGAAGACTGGGCTTTTCACTTCAAAGCCGTAATAGGATTTTCCATTTTCGTGCTGCAGCCTTAGACAGATTTTAGCGTTATGGGCGTTTGTGGGCCTTAGCATGGGCGTAACACTCTCTTGAACAAACCTGCTGCGCAAGAAGCTCTAGAATCTGCATGCTAATCTCAACTTTCTAGCTTTTATGGTTTCACCGTTCATATAGAAGGACAAACAGACGGAAAGACGGACATGGCTAGTTCTACTCAGCTAGCAAATATAATAGTTACTTTATAGGGTCGGAAACGCTTTCTTCTACCTGTTACATACTTTCCGATGAATCTAATATACCCTTTTACTCTACGAGTAACGGTACAAAAATAGGGCTTAAACCAAAAATCTGATTTGTTTTCTGCGATAAATCTGATTATTAGACCACTGATCCGACATCTCAGTGATTATTATTTGGTGTATGTAATTTCCTTTCATTTGTGTTCAATTCACTCATTGACCATATCATTGATGTTTCTTTTCTTTACATTTTGTTTTTGAAATAAACTTTTTGACACTGAAAACATAAAACATGATTTATCGTTGCCGTTTACCGTTATCGTTCAACTTCACCGCCTTCCGTTACTCCAAATCAAAAAACAAATACCACCACCACAAATTCATTGACACCTGTAAATGTTTCGCCAAAAAACACTCTTCAAAATATTGAAAATCGAAAATAAAGTTACCGCGCAAGTCGGCGTCCAAGACTACAACCAATGGTGTTAGCTTGACCGGATCGGTCAAAAAGGAGGATTACGGTCTGCGGCGTGGCCAAGATTCCGCGAAGAAGCCACCAATCAGCGGAGGAAGTGGTGGCCAATACAGCAGTAGCACTAGAGACACCCATGGCGACAGCAACAAGCGACCGACCAGTTTATTCTCATCCCCATCGCTGGCCCGTTTGGTGGCCACCTCCGGAGTGGACTTATACGAAAAGTATAGTCCGGCCAACTATAAACCCAACTGTGAACTGTCACGTTCCAGGTCGGGGCATTCTGAGGCGGATCTGGAGAATGGCAGCAACAAGGAGACGACGCCCACATGCACGGTGACCCTGGAGAGGCCACGAAGTAGTAGCAATCGCTACAGTCTCATCTACAGCAATAGCAGCGATGCAGGATGGGACTCCACGGGATCCTCGGGAAAATTGACTTCCGGGAAGTACTCGATAAACAGCAGCAGCAGCAGTGGCGATGTGCCCTCGGCCACCTTTACACTCCGCAGCAACCGCACACGACGCAACCAGGTGGAGACTTCTTCGACCACGCCAGTAGAATCAACAGCAGCTTCTACAGCAACAGCAACACCACCACCACCACCTCCACCTCCACCTACAAATGGCTATAAAACAGGTGTATCGAATGGCGAGCTGGAAGCCAAACTAAATGGTGTATCACTGCTATCGACTTCACCAAAAAGAAATGCCATACATGAACGAAATCAGGACACTACTGATGATGCAAGTGTAGGGCAGGATAATGCGGACAATGCCGATGTTAGCACCTCGGCCACATTTAAGCTAAACGACAGCAGCAAGGTAAAAGCTTTGGCCAGAAGTTAAAAGGAAACTAGAAGAGCTGCCCCGAAAACGAAAAACAAACTAATTGCATGTTCCATAACCCAAACAATTAAATGGCGTTTGCGAAAAAATAAGAAACCATTAACCCCCACCCTTGCATAAACCATTGACTTCTTTACCTCATTTTATTCCAATTCCACCATCTGTTTGTTCGCCAGTCAACCTAGCAAAAGCCGATCATTTAACCAACTTTACATTTCTATGTATTTTTAGCTAAACTCTTGCAGATTGCGAGCCTTCTAACTTAAATTAAACTTAAAAAACCAAGTCAAACTAAACTCCAGGCTAATTAACAATACTCCTAACTAAAATCAAACCCCCTGAAAAAACCATCATAATATCATCAAAAAACATTTGCTTAGAATATAGTGCGGACACGACAGGATTATCCGGTTAGTCGAGAGTAGTTTATTCCTGGCAGGCGGCGAGGAAACAAACAAACACAACACAAAATCTCGTATCTACTCAACCGTAGGCAGGCAACAAAAATAAACGCTAGAAAACCGCAATCAGAAGAAGAGCAACTGCAGAAGAGAGAAAAGGAGTGCGGTGACCATCCCGTCGAATGATGTTAGACATTAAGAAGACCAGAGGATTCCACAAGATTCCACAGGCATCAAAATTGCAGACAGCAACGGGAACAACATCATCAGTAGTAGGAGCATTAGGAGCGAGTGCAACAGAAGTGTCATCACCAGGCGGACCAACGGGAGCAACATCTTCATTATCGGGACGGGGAACTGGTAGTCTTGCCACTCGTCTGAAAAACCCAGTGCACGGCAAACACTCGACAGTTCCTGAAAATTCAGTGGCTGTTGGCAAGACCCACGCCGCCCTGGCGGCAGCCAAATACGGCAGAGGCGGCGGTGTACCAACACAGATCCGCTCCACGCCGAGCAGTCAATCCAACCCAGTGCGGGCTGCCAATCAGCGTTATTTCTTAATATCCAGCTACAAGGATCCCACATTCTTGAAGGCCGAATGCGAGTTGGCTCATGCTCAGGTGGCAGCCAGCAAGGTAAAAACCAATTCGCAATCCCACAGGCGGAGTCGAGCAGGTGAGGATTCAAGGAACAATAACCACAACGGTAGCCGAGCACCAACGCTGGTTGATATGCGACGCACGTCCATGTTCAATGGCAATCAGCAACCAACCACCATCGGCAGCAGCACCACCAACAACAACACCAGCAACGGTGTTCTCAAGTACAGTGCCCGCTCCACGACAGCAACATCAGCTTCCACGTCTACCAGGAGCTACGGCAAGCTGAAACCGCTTTATAACAACCCATCAACCGCTGGATCAGCTATGATGTATGGCCACAACACTAATAATAATAACAACAGCAGCAACCTTAACAACGGCGGCAATAACAACATGCAACGTCAGCAAGAGCAACACGATGACATTAGCTACATAGACAGCGATGATCCGCCGGCAACTAGTGGTCCAGAATGCGGGGGATCGACCACCAAGGCAAGCATATGCTACTTCAAGCCCATCACACCGCCTCTGCAGCTGCGACACCCGCAAACTCAAGTGCAGCAGCAGGATCAACATCAGCAACCTGTCTGTTCCAAGTCAGCCAGCCATCGCTACCCGCGGCCCAAGTCTACCATTATAGCATCGGCCCACTCAAATTTCGCAGCCAGCTATGAGAAGTTTAGTGGTGCTCTCTATAAGCAAACCAATGGCGAGGTGAACTCAGAGAGTAGGAACAGCAGCAATGCTAGGCGATATGGCATAGATTCGTTGAGTATCAAGGCCTCCATTGAGAAGTTCAACAATCTCAGTGGACAGAAGAGGCAAACTCCAAGCTCTGGAGCTGGTATTGGATCTGGCAGTGCAACAGGCACATGTTTAGGAGTCGGAGCCGGGACTAGTCGAAACAACCACCCATCGCAAGCAGGCGGGAGTAGCGGCAATCTGCAGCAGCGCTATAGCAGCGACCTGGACAACATCCGAGTGGCTGCTGGCTATAGCAGTTCTCTGACCAGAGCAGCGTATCGGACTACGGGCACGATGAATAATGTAAGCACTCCCGTGCCGGCAGGATTGGGTGGTCCTATTGCTAAAGGTGGAGGAGTCGCCACGGCGGTTTCGCCCATCAACAAGGTAACGGTGAGAGGAGCTCACAGCAGCCGGCAAGCAAACGAATGCGAAAGCCTAGCTATAAGCACCAAGGTAAACAACGATGAAACGACACCGCCAACACCTAATGTTGTCGGTGCAACAGTAACATCAACACCAGCCACGTCTTCCGTCTCCACAGCCACAGCCCCAAGCTCCGCCAGCGATAGTGTAAGTCGGTCCTTGGTCAGGTCACCGATTAGTTCAGTTTAGTTTTCTTTTTTGACTCCATTACATTTTCGTCTATTATACTATTATGATACATGAAATCCTGTACTTGGCAAGAGCAAGCAACTGAAATTGTAGCTAGAATGTATATTTATTCCATTTTAATATTGGATTTATCATACTACATATATCCTTGTTTTCGTCTATCTCTTTTTTTTATTTCGCTATCGATGCTGAGTCACAGTTTTGATTTTGTTATCCTTTTGCATGCTGGTCTATTATCGCTGTCTATTCTCACTTTTCATCCGCATTATGAAACACAATACACCTGTACTAACTTCGACTTATTATGGTTTCTTCTTTAATATCTAATTGTTCGATTGCTAGTTGCTTTGATTGACTAACGTAACTTTTCCTAAATACTAACGATTAATCTATTGCCCGAACCGACAGACAGCTACCGAGGCTATCAGTGATGGGATAGTTCCGTTTAAAAAAAAAAAAATTATACTTTTTTAGTAAAAAGATGTAAAGTGTGGTAAAAAAAAAAACTAAATCCTAAAGTAGCTGACATACGTTTATTTTCCTTTCAAAGCTCACTAGTTTCGACATTATGAGGACGAGAAAGTGGTCCTTAGTATTCAAAAAGAGTTCACGTCTTTTAAATATTAAATAACATTTTACCTATATATGAAATAGTATGCATAACAAATCGAATCGACGAAGTACTTTAAAGACCCCCATCACTGGAAATGAATCGCTATGTTGTTATTTGGGTTCGGGAACCTAAATAAGTATTAAATGATACTCACTTGTAAAATTTTCTCTGTTGTGCAGACGGCGGCAAGGAGCGGCATTGGAAGTAGCAGCAGTGCCCGGAGCGTGCTGCCTCCCATGACACCCACGTCGAGTCGCTACTGGGATCGGGATCGGGACGGCGGCACTAGTCGCAATAGCGTAAGCAACTCCTCCGCCCTCAACTCGTCATCACTAAAGCACAATTCGGATGATGGTTACAAGAGCGCCTCGTCGTCGCGTGATGAGAAGTCCGAAGGTGGGTTTACTAAGAATAGTTCTGCATTGTGAAAATGTACAAGTTTTATTTTCCTAAGTTATTACCGATACATTTTCACTTTAAATGAGAGAGAGCTCCATAGTCGAGTACCTTGACTAGCATATATCCGTTACTCAGCTAACCAATTTTATTTATTGACTAACGGCCCAACAAAAAAAAATGTACACTAAAAAATTCTTCAAAAATGTGTGCGCCACAAAGTTTTGCGATCTGCGGGCGTTACAGTGGGTGTGGTACTCGGCTATTTGTTGACAACATTTTTTGATAAATATTTTATCCAAATTTTAAATCATGATGAAAAAATAGGTTGACCAAATATCCTTACTGATTGATTTGTTGTTCAAAAATCTGATTAATAATAACAATATGTAGTACCCGTTCCTGATTTTGTGTTGTCAATAAAAAAAACTCAAAACAAGTAGTAACAACATTTCTCTAAAAGTCTACTGAAATTCTTAGTAAAAGCTGAAATTTAAAACAAAAACTTTGGAAAAATATTAGAACGGAGAGTAAGAACGTTGTAGAGGGGTCACTAGAAGGCTGAGGATCGGGCGAGGATGATAGATCCTTCCGTTAGCGAATGCAAGCCCACGCATCCCAATTGGGGAGTAGAGACCTAGGCTGTGCTATCATCCTTATTGATTGAAATTAACCCGAATCCCTTTTCTTGAAATTTTCTTTCCACAGGTCTGTGCGGTTTGCGAAACATCGGGAACACTTGCTTCATGAACTCTGTTATTCAGTGCCTGAGCCACACCCAGGAGCTAACACGCTTCTTGCGGTCGCACCATGGGTCCCGCTCGACCTCCACCAAGGATCAGCAGATACTCCACGGTGAGTTTTATTTTATATTTGCGCATTGGTCTATTTTAAAACCCTATTGGTAATTGCAGAATTTGCCAAACTCATCCAGGAGATGTGGACGTCGAATGTGCACACTGTCACACCTATGGAACTGAAGCGGGCCTTCTCCACCAAGCACCGCATGTACAGCGACTACAACCAACAGGACGCGCAGGAGTTCCTGCGTTTTTTCCTCGACTCGCTACACTCGGCCCTGAACACGGGGGTCAAGGGTGAAACCCTCAGCATTGACGATAATCTCAGGTGGGTCTTGATTTATTGACATATCTACTTATGCGATAAATTTGTGACCTACCGCAGTGACAATAAGAAAGCGGACCTGACCTGGGAGTGGTATTCGCGGCACGAGAATTCGCTGGTACGCGACCTCTTTGTTGGTCAGCTTAAAAGCACGCTGAAGTGCACCACCTGCGGCAACACTAGCGTCACTTTCGATCCCTTCTGGGATCTGAGCGTACCGCTGCCGTCTTCTTCGCGCTGCAAGCTGGAGGCTTGCCTTGACCTCTTCATCCGCGAGGAGGTCCTCGACGGCGACGAGATGCCCACTTGCGCCAAGTGTAAGACGCGGCGAAAATGCACCAAGAGCTTCACCATCCAGCGTTTCCCAAAATACCTGGTTATACGTAAGTTCCGTACCCATTACATCATAAAGCTAGCATACAGTAAAGTACCACAACTTGTATAATGAGAAGTAGCAGCTGAACCTCTTAAAATGTTTTATCGCAAGTTGCAATAATAACAAATATTCAGAGTTGTACAGTGCAGTCATCCACATAAAATTGTATATAAATTTTGCATAATTTTTACATTTGTGTACAAATGCATGCCATAACCAAATTACCGTTTTAATTTCTTAGGTTAGTTAGTTATTAAAGGCAGGCCATTTCCTTTATTTTAAAACAGTTTTGTATTTTAAAATATTAAACAATTCAAATGGAAACACCAGCTTTTCGGTGCTGCATAAATTTGTGCTGGGAGTGCAGTTATAGTAAGAAAGTACCAGTTTTAGTATTTCAAAACAACTTATACCACTACGATAAGGAACTGTGTTTTCTTTTTAAAAAACTAAAACTAAACTAGAGTTAAAGCGTATGGTCTCGGGCCAAAATTGTCTGGATGTTGTATCCCTGTGTAATTGTTTTTCTAAACTACTAAACTACTACATTTACAGACCTAAAGCGCTTTTCGGAGACGCGCTGGAGCAAACTGTCAAACATTGTTGAGTTCCCTATATCGGACAGCGAACTGAACATGGGCTCCTATGGCGCTAACTCCAACTCGAATGTGCATTACACGCTCTATGCGATATCCAATCATATGGGTGAGTTGGCAACACATCATTATATTTAAGTATACTTATTAGTATTAATTCAACAGGCTCAACGGCTGGCGGTCATTATGTGGCCCTCTGCAAGCATCCCGTATCTCGCAAGTGGCACGAGTTTAATGATAATATGTAAGTAATATCTGCGAATGATCCAAAAGCTCTGAAAATGTAATGTCTGCACGTCCAGACAAAAATTAGTTATATTTTTTTTAATCTTGCACGATATTGATGTAAACAAGTAATTATATTTGGTTTTGCTGGATTTTTTAATGACAAAAAATGGGGCTTTTTCTATCTACCCGGAAATTCTTAGGCGTCAATTGGCTTTTTAGTTTTTATTACTGTAGGGATCAGTAATCAGTGATGAAGTTTGTTCTGCTGAACGCTTATGACACAAATCGACGTTGAAAATTGAAAAATTGTACCTGAAAAACTCCACTATGCAATTCAAATGTTTTAGTTACTAAAACTATATGCAGATATGAATATTTTTTATTTTTCCTCCAAGAAAAGTTAAAAATGTACAATAATGGAATACAACTTTAACTGTACACTTAAGAAATGTCTACTTCAGTTCTGGATTTAAATTGAACAAATTAAGTGGTTCAATATCTATTTCACAAAAATGATCAAACAATTTTGTTTTTTTAGTTATCGGTTATCGGAAAAATTACGATATATGTCAAAAAATACCGAAAAAATAAATCTTAAACTTGTACTTATTTGAAACGCAAATTATTATTATAATTTTAAATATGTATTTGATATGCACAAACTTAAATTAATTTAAATATTCCTTTTAAAACCTAATAATTGAGTTTTTTATTTCATTCCGCAGCGTCAGCGATGCCTTGTCCGAAAACCATCTTGTTTCATCCAGTGCCTATATTCTTTTCTACGAGCGTGCGTAAAACCCAATCCGTGCTCTACGGCAACCGTAAGGTGCAGTGTTGACGATGGGGTTCCTGATGTCCCGGCACACTCCTCAGATCGGGATGGAAACCAAGATGACCATGGCAGCGGGATGGGAGCGAAGAGGAAACGGAATAACCAACAAACGAACTCTTAGAAACGCTTCGTAGAATTGCATACAAACAAATTTACTTAATTTAACTCAACTTAAAGGCAAAACAGAACTAACTCCTTACTTAAAGCAGAAACCAAAAGAAAAAAGGGATTAAGCGGAATATAAGTGCATACAAAACGAGAATCAATGTACATATAAAAACGAACTTCGATGGCTTAACTAAACAAGTAAAATAACAATAATAAAACTCCTACGAAAAACAATAAATCTGTGCAATAACAACTTTCGGCAAACCAAAGCCCCGGGATAAGTGTAAGAGATACTAATGCTAAATAGTGTCAGGATATTCTTTTGTAGGGATAAACATAGCAACCAGCGGCAGCAACGATACAATATTTTAATATTTCTCTTCTTTTGAAGTGTTATTTATCAAACTTAAATTAAAAACTTGCATCGGCTCACTCTCCCGTCTCTCTTTCGCCTGTCGCTCTATCTCTCTCTTTCTCACTCTACATTGGTTTGCCGAAGGAAAGTGTTCTGTGGTTGTGTGTAAAAAAATAAACAAACAAAATGAAACGTGTGAAAAGAAAAGTAAATTAATATTTAAAATTCGTCATGTGCAATATTTTTCATAAAAAAGAAAAAACAACTGCAACAAATACTTTCACTAAAGACGATTAAAATCAAACGAAACGCAATCGCACCACAAAAATTACACTAGCTGAAAGAAATGGGGTTTTAAAAACTAAAAAATAATATTAATTAGTCGATAAATGAGCAAGAACTTGAATGGAAGGGGCAAAAAGTAAAGCTGAATTGTGCATTGTGAAAACGTACTTATGATAAATGCTAGTAGTAAATGTAAAAATGAAGCGATCAGAGCAGCAACAACACCAAAAAAATTGTTATACTTTAGCCAAGACACCAACAAAACCATCCAGCCCATGTAAAAAGGGATACTCCCAAGGGCACAAAAGACCTTACGAAGTTCGTTTCAAATTTATAACATTTTTTGTGTTTTTTTTGTTAGGCTTGGTAAAAGCAACCAAAACTAGTCTTAAAAACAAATGAGTTATATATGAGGGTTACTGAACAAAAAACTGTTTTTGTTTGTTTGATTTTGTAGTTTAAGTCTAGCGCTTTTCCATCACCTCAACAAACCCTCTTAGACTTGCTGCATATTTTTTATTGCTAATTTTGTTTTTATGCCTACATATATTATATAACTGATTTATTTATTGTATTTATGTAAATTATAAAAAAAAACACGGACACCCCTAAACACCTACACTCTACGAAAAAGGATGTGTACATAATGTAGCTTGTTTCCGACAGATGCAAAAAAAGCTACAGAAAAACTAAAACTACATCTACACTGCACCTAAATTTAAATGAAAGATAATAAAAACAAACAAGACACATTAATTTTTTGTAAAAAACAATCAACTTTAATTTTTTTCTGCTTAACTATTAGTTTCAATTGTAATTGTTGAATATTTTACTAACGTTAAAGAAAAAATAATAATAAAAAATCCCCCAAGAGAAAAAACGGAAAAATAAATGACAAAATTAAAGTAAACATTTTAATTTCAGAGAGGGTTTTATTTGGCGCGCCAAATCTTTCTCGCCTGTAATGCATGGGTTCACGTTTCATCTTAACTTGATTCGTTATAAGAACAAAACATGAAAGGAAGCTAACTTCGGCCAGTCAAAGTTTATATACCCTTGCAGGTCGTTTCTGTGGGACAATATATGTACAGTGGGGTGGGACGAATTGTACGAGCCGAAGTGATAATCGTAGAGGGGAACGTAATCTAATGACAATTCTAAGCCAAAGAAACTGTCTTAAAAATCACGTTAAATGCGGAGGGCATTTACAAAAAAAACGTTTTTTATCGTATTAAAAATGTATCAGTAGCCTTAAATTTAATACATTGATGTGGACGTAAAAAAACCCAATAAATGGTTTGGGCGGAACGCAATCAATGGGAAATTCTAAGCCATATTGCCAAAAAGCATATGCCTAAAACCACGTCTGACCGTTCGCAGTTGCAAGAGAAAAATACTGGTTTTTCGATTAAGACGAAAAAATTTGTTCTTTTCAAAATTAAAAATGGCTTTGAATTTTAATTGCCCCTACCGTGTGTTGCACCCAGCTACAACTTTTTTCGCGTCTATACCAATGTTCCAAGTCCAAGACTTCTAAGATATGTTTTATCAACAATATTTTTCTCTTGCAAATGCAGAGGGTCAAACGTGATTTTCAAGTCATAGTTTCTTTGGGAAAATTGCTTAAATTTATCCGTAGATTACAACTTCTGACAAAAAACATACCCTCTGTAAGGGTATAAAAACAATCTCTTGTTTACAAAAAATTCCTCGGAAAGCCGACGTTTGTATACTTTTGCACCTATACCCCAAATCATACAAATAAAATCATCCTATAAACCGTATATATGGGAGCTGTGTTGCAAAAAATGAAAAAAAAAGATATGACCAAAACAACGAAGCTATAATTTTGATCTAAATATTTTCTATAAATTTTTCGTTTGCCACTATGGCAGCAATATATGTATCCGGCTTAAAAGCATTTGATTAAAAAAATTAAAAACCGAAGAGAATATGATAAATAACAACGAAGCAATAGGTTTTTTTTAAACTAATTTCTTGTTTTTTGTGTAGCTTTAAAATATAGTCTTTAGACTTAAAAAAGACTGGGACAGGTTTCATTCCTATAGCTTTAAATCTATAAAACTATAAACGGACGGGCAGGCCGACTCTGCTTTTCACGCTGATCAAGAATTAATCTATTTCATGGATTCGTTTCCTTTACTAAATTGCAAACGTCTGGCTGAAATTACAATACACTCACTATTCAAGCAAATATGCTAATTATTCTAGTAACAGCAAATTTACATTTTGCTTAAAAAGTAGGTTTGAATATAACTAAATAACAACGCTAAATTGGTTATAAGTACGTCAACAATTCGCACTCCCATTTGGGCGATTCAAGTTACGCCCTTGAACTGGGGTGTCTGCTTCATTTTATTTGTATTTAAATATAATAAAAGTTAAATTATTGTTTTGCGACAATTTTCTCAAATTTAAAAAATATATCTTTAAATAACTACTTCGCAACTTTACGTCCTGAGGATTGTTTTGGGTATGTTTTAATTTTTTATGGTGACATCCAGCGGTTTTGTAACTGTAACAGAAACTAGGTAAATTACTTATACACCTCCAAAGGTGTACCTTAAACGGAATTCGTGGGATTGTGGGTGTGGATGTGGGCGTATCTGCATCTGTAACTCAGTGCGAAGGATGCTGCTTTTGCGATCGGCTGTGATCCCGGACAAGAGTTAGGTTTCTTAAGCACCAGTGCCAGCAAAAGCGACGACAGTTTAACAAAAAAGACAACAGGTTAACTGCACGCCGCTTGCTGTCGGCCGGTGGCTGCTGATCGCCGATCCTTTGGGGAATTGACAATGGCAGCAGCGGTGGCGATGGTTTAGGATCTTGCGACTGTGGCAACGGCAACGACTCCGCCGAAGTGGTGGCGTCCTCGCCCGTGGCCAAGGATCATTTGCTCTCGTCCTTCTCGGCCTTGTCCGCCTTGGCACTGGCCCGCGTGGCCTTTTTGTTCTCGTACATTTTGATTAGCTCGTTTTTGGTGGGCATGGGCTTGATGTAGCCATGTTGCACAAGGTACTTGATGGACACTGTGGTGCAGCCTGCAAGAGGATTAAAATATTACTTCTCTGTCTCTGCATTTTAAATACAATTTTGGGAACAGGCTTTGAATTATAAAATAGTTTCAGTGACTTTTAATGGAAATTACATATATTAATTTTGTGGTGGGCTTCCAATTTCCTTTCCAAGGAAACGCCTCCGCACTTGACTACTAAATAAAGTCTTATAATGTACACAAGTAAAGTAAAAACTTAATAGGTGCAAGATGTAAATAATCTTCTGTAGCATATATGTACATTGTTCAGAGGAAGAGAATATTCTTTCTTAATCCCAATGACATAGAATTCGTTGGTGCTAAAGTTTCTTTGAAATCTTTTTCTATTTATGTAACTTGTTCTTATATTCCACCTGTATCCGACTTATCAGTTTATGAGCAATATTTGGCTGCAATAAAAACTGTTTTATCTCAACTTTTCGAAAGGGATCTCTTGATTGTTTTGGGTGATTTTAATACCCCTGACATTTCTTGGTCCCCTTTCACTGAATCACTTGTGTCTACCCCTTTATCTGACCATGACTTCGTTGATAGTCTGTTAAAATTATCATTACAGCAAGTTAGCTTTATACGTAATTCACTAAACAGACAATTAGATCTTGTATTTGTTTTAGCTCTGTCTGAAGTCACGGTATCTAGAATTGATCCACTAGTTGTGCCAGAAGCCCGGTATCATCCCACATTGGAACTTACAATTTGTCTTCCCTGCGTTGATTTTTTTTCTCCTAAATTAGACAGGCCTCCTTGGTTTACCAATGAGTTGCAAAGACTTAGAAACCTTAAAACAAACTTCTATGAACAGTACAAAAAGTCGGGTAGGCCATCCGATTTTTCAAGATATGTGGTGGCTCGTACAAATTTTAATGTACTTAACAGTCATTGCTATTTCATGTATTTGAACCGATGTAAATTTGAATTTTTAAAGGATCCGAGGCACTTTTATATTTTTGTCAATGCTAAGCGAAAATCTTCAGCATTGCCATCATCAGTACGTTTAAACTCTATTGAGGCATCTACGGATCCCGAAATTGCAGATTTATTTGCTGAATTCTTCCAATCTACTTATAGTTCTGTTTCTTGGTCTAAATCTAGCTACCCTAATCACTTAAACAGGGCAAATTGCATTTTTTCTCCTGTAATCACCGAAAGTTCTCTCTTAAGTGATTTCGAAACTATAACGCCAACCTATTCTCCGGGGCCTGATAGACTCCCTGGGCGTGTGCTTAAGTTTTTTGCCCGAACTATTTGTAAACCCATTCTTAAACTTTTTCATTTGTCTATCTCATCATCTGTTTTTCCTACTATCTGGAAAGATTCTTTTATTATTCCACTTCACAAAAAGGGTGCGAAGCTTAATGTTCCGAACTATAGAGGAATCTCCAAATTGTCTGCAATTCCTAAAACATTTGAACGCATTATTACCTCTCATTTGCAACATTTGTGCTCCTCCTCCGTGTCAACACGGTTTTGTTAAGCGAAGATCGACCACCACTAACCTGCTCGAATTGACATCTTTTGTAATAGATAAATTTAACAAAAAATTGCAGACAGACGTTATATATGTATACAGATTTTAGTAAAGCCTTTGACTCCGTTAACCACTCTCTTCTTTTATTTAAATTAGATCAGCTCGGGTTTTCGAATAATATGTTAACTTGGATTTAAAGTTATTTGAATGGTAGATCTAAGAGAGTTTTATTCAAAAACGCCTATCCAACATCCGGTGAAACATAATCACCATATGCCACACTTCCAAGCTCACATGGCCAAAGTACAACCCCAAAAGGACCAAGGATCTCTACGATACCTTTCGATTGGTGTATCACTCGGACCATCTCAGCAGACTTTCAATTTTGCGGCATCGCCTTTGAACACTCTCCTTGTGCGCTGCGTCACTACGTGTACTACCGCCTACAACAGAATACAACATTTTTTTATATCCTAAACTAATATCCTAAGGAGAAAGTTCATCTTATATTAAGAAATTATATACATTTATGCTTAACTAAAAATGTAGTATTCCATATGTAGCTACTCAAGCAGCAAACTTTAAACGCGACTATCGCGGAAAGATGCATTTCGAAATTGGATTTGCTGTGGTCAAGATTCCGGGAAAATTATAGGTCCGACACATTTGTTTGCTTCTTTTAAAAAATTAACTTGTCGCTAAACAAAAAAATGTTTATATATTGCAAATTTTGCTTTTTAAAAGCCTAAAAACATTGTTGTCTTTTTTTTTCGTTTAAACATCCGCCAATAACAGTGCAAAAAATATTTTTTAAATTTCTTCATTCAGCGACAAGATGATTGAATAAACTAATTTGTTTTTCTTTTAATTTGGGAAACCCGTTTTCCCGGAAATGTAACCACCGCAAGGCACTTGAAATCGAGAAAAGTACGGCCGTTTGCATACCTCCATTTTTAGACCCTTGCAGAGGGTATATTTATTTCAGACAGAAGTTTGCAACGCAGTGAAGGACGCCTTGCCGACCCTATAACGTACGTATATACATTCTTGATCAGCAAAAAATGCTACCTTCCAATTAAAACAAAAGAATAATTTGAAAAATTCTAACATAGTTGTTTTTGGTCAAACTATCTTTCAGCCATATAGTAGCCTTCTAAAATTTAATAATTTTTTTTTAGTTAAAAACAATGAAACTCAAATAACCAATTTAACTCATTAACTTATAGTCCGATTCAATAAACTTTTGGCACGTCAATAGATAAAAAAACAAAGTGAGTGTACAAAAAAAAATTTCAAAATTAATTTGTTTATGAATATACAGACTTGAAAAATGTTTGGATGGGTAGATAAATATTAATAATCAAAACAAAATCTCATTTACACTTTTACAAAATATTTTAAAATGAGGGCGCTAGACAGACATAAGCGTTGTAAGCGATTATTGTTGTTAGATTGAACAAGGCACATTCGGATAACAAACTTGCGCTGAATGAGAAGCTAAGCGATCTAAATCTTAAGTCCCAACTCTATAGCTCTTATGGTTTCCGAGGCCACAGCGTTTACACGACAGACAGACATGGCTAGATCTACTCGGGTAGTGATCCTGATCATTTTAATTTCTGAGTAACGGCTATAAAAAGTTAAAATTACGTACTTGAAGTCGCAAGAAACAGAATTGAAATTAAATTATTTTATATATATGAATCCGCGATATCCACCTTTTTTTGTGGTACATGAGTACAATTATAGCTTTGTAAGTAGTAAGGAGTATTATTCTGCATGGTGAATTTAAACTTGTGAAATTATTTTGCAATTTGTTTATGTTGATTTTTCAAAAGGCAAAATTGTTTTAAAAAAAAGGTTACTAAACGTCATATTTTAAATAATAGAAGCAACTGACCGTGAAGAAAACCAAAGGGATCTTACCCAAAGTGAGGGCGTAGCGCAGGGGCGTGGCCACTTTATAGCAGAGATAGGCGATGGCGTAGTGGCCCATATCCGAGCCCTGTACCTTCTCAATTATGTTCTCACTCAGGTGTACGTACTGCAGCAGAGCGGGCACATCAACGCCACTGCAAAATAAAGTCATTATTATGGAATTTTAGTGAAAGACAGATGATGCCCACCTCTTAGACAGGTAGTAGAAGCCTCCGAACCAGCCCACTGACGTGAGGACATGCACAGGGATAAGCACGTACCAGTACTGTTTGTACATGTGCTTGAACTTGGCGAACAGACCCATGTTGGCCGCCTCGCCGAAAAGATCACTGGACGAAGTGCTATTGGCTGCCTTCGCATCCTTGTCGCCTGCGGAGGAACTGTTGACTGCGGGAGATGGAGCAGCCGCCGCCGCCGGGTTGGCCGACTTGTGGTTGAAGCGGATGGTGGCGGTGGGCAGAATCTGGTTTCGGCAATTCGTCAGCGGCCAGGAATCGCTAGGCAGACTCGTGGTTCTGGCCATCGCCGTCAGGCACCTGGAGTGGGCGCCACCGCATAGCCGCAAGGAGCAGGCGAACAGGCGCTGCCGTGAGAGCAGAGCCACCGTTGCCATGGTTAACGAGAGTCCGACCTATCCCTTACAGAAAACTGAACTTAAGCGGCGTTATGCGTAGGTCTAGTGCTGGCAGCCGGAGCGGATCCGGATATACCGGTCGATTCCGATTCGCTTGTTTTTCTGTCGATGGTCTTGGACGCACGTACTTACGCAGAGCCCCCTCAATACAGCAGCCTGGCTCTTATTTCTTAAATATGTAAGACTAGCTGGATTTCATATATTTCAATGCAATTTCACCTGGCCTGCTAACGTTATCGGGCTATCGGATGTTTAATCGAATAAGCACTGACTGTTAAGTAAAAGGGCTGGCGAATGTAGACAGATGTAGCGGAATAAAATGTAATACAGGGGCTTTACTTAAAAATATATATATCACATAGGTTTTTTCATCTGGTCTTTTTTGGGGTTTCCCCAGCTCATCTGAGTACCGCGGTGGAAAAAAGGTCCCGACGAAAGGCAGTTATTTATTTTGTTCTACCAAGGAAGGTAAAACTCTCTCAGGCAATGGTTCTCCTGCAGCTAAGCGTCATTGAAGCAATGTTTCCATAAATATTAACGATGTGGAATTGCTGTTCTGCGATTCGATTTTACAATAAGAGATTATTAAAGTCCAGTGTATTCATTAGATTAAGAAGGACAATAACGCAGAATAGCAGATTGCAGCATCCACCAAAGGAAACACCTGTTGAGCATTTAATGCTTGTTCTTATTGTTCCTTATCCGCCGCAACAGCGGCGGCCCATGTTAACAAATTAGGACACCCTTTTCGCTGTTGCAATTTTAGGCGACTGTGTGCAAAGGGTATAATACAGTGCTGTTAATGCACAACACAGTGCTGTTAGCACGCTAAAAACACTGTCAAATTAAGTAAGCTGCTTGAAATGAAATATAAGACTTTCCCAATCCAATTTTATTGTTAGGTCCATGGATACGGCAGAACAGGGACTCGAGGAGGCGCCACCGGCGGTGCTCAGCCTGGACAATTGCCCGGGAACCACGCCTGGTAAGCCACAAAGCAAAAATCAGCTGAAAAAGCAGCGCAAGCTGGCAGAGTTTGCGGACCTCCGAAAGCTGCGACGAGAACGAGAGCGTGAGAAGAAAAAACAGAAACGCCGGGAGGCCAAGGAGCAGGGTCTGCCCGTCCGGGTGGGTCCTTCCCGCAAGGAGCTCAAAAAGCGCCAGGCATCTGACGGAAGTCAGCCCGGACTCTGCGTTGCCATCGATCTGGACTACGATGATCTGATGCAGGAGCGGGACATCTCCAAGTGCGTCAAGCAGTGCCTCCGGATTTATACTATCAACCGCCGCAGTGCGCAGCCAGGCAAGCTGCACTTCACGGGCATACGTCGCAACGGACACATCCACAATTCGTTCAAGAAAAATGATGGCTGGGAGAACTGGCACGTGGAATACCACTTCGATCGCAGTCACACAGATGTCTTCGACACCAGCAAACTAGTATATCTCACCTGCGAGTCTGAACAAGTGCTGGACAAGCTGCAGCCCAACTGCACATACGTCATTGGCGGACTAGTGGACCACAATCACTTCAAGGGTCTGTGCCATTCGAGGGCGACGGAGGCGGGCCTGGCCACTGCCCGCCTGCCGCTCAGTGAGCACGTGGACATGAAGACAAGGGCCGTACTCAGTACCTACCACGGTGAGTGGGTAGGGTTCTTTTGCAAAGATGTGATGAGACCTTTTCGACCCTAAAGAGTGTTTGGATCATACTTTTGGAACCCATTGTAGGTTTTCAAGTAGATCTATACGCTTAGCGGGTCACATAATATGCCCATTTTATTGAAATAACCGCAAAAATTTAAGTTTACGAACAACTAAGAAAATTCTTTAAAAGAGCAGTAAATACAAAATTTAGTTTAAGGTAGTAACGCGTAGTTTTCGTTAAGTTTTTTTTATTCCTCATTGTAATTTTAGTACATTTTATAAGAACATGTTACATTTTTGGCAAGTAGATGGGATTATCAATATCCAATGAATTTCCCATTTACACTTCGTCAAATTATTAAAAAATGTGAACACCAGACAGGCAGATTTTGCGGCATGGGCGTTTGAGTGGGCGTGACACTCCGTTAAAACAAACAGATATACATAGGAATAGTTGCCGCTACTTTTTACTTTATTTATTTTTATTTATTTACAAATGACCTTCCCTCTGTTATATCTCATTCTCGTGTACTAATGAACACAGATGATGTTAAATTATGCCTGCAGTAGAAGCATACTTCTTTCCAGTCTTACAATCCGATTTGAACAATATTCAAACACGGTGCTTTGACAAGTTACTGGATTTAAATGGCTCTAAGTGTAATGTAATGACTTTTTGTCGAGTCAATCCTCAATATTCGACATATACGCTAAGTGACGGCTCATGGAAGAGAATAACTCTAGTAAACGATTTGGCGTTCTTTTGGACACAAGACTACAATTTGCAGATCACATTTCGTTTTGATGATGTTCCTTATATTATAAAGACCTTATTTATTTCGCTTGTCCGCCCGATACTTGAGTATGGATCACCCTTTTTGCTATTTGCTATAAGAGGCCTAAACTGGGATGCAAACCTGATTTTACCTTCTTATTCTAGTAGATGACTAATTAACTTACCCTCCCTAGCCAACCGCAGAACGATGCTTGGAACATTCTTTATGTATAACCTTATTCGAGATGAAATTGATAGCCCGGACTTGGTTACCCAGCTAAACTTTTCTGACCCATGCAGATTAACAGGAAATTAGATTCCCCTAATTTTAAATCAATGTAGATCTAACTATGACTTGCATTAACCTTTCAGAGTATTATTTTCTGACTAATAGACTTTATCTGCCTCTCTTGAAACAAATTTGCTAGCACAGATTTAGCCCATACTTTTTTTCCTTGAACTATATCTTTTTTTCTACGCGTCTATCATCTCGCGAATTCGTACCGTACGACACAATATAGATATGGTTGTCAAATACTAGTCATAGTATAACGATAGTCTTAAATGGTTAAGAATTAATCAAAATAAAGTTTGCCTTTCGCGTTAAGAAGGGGTGTTCCATTTAAAACTAATTACAAGAATTTTAGATAATCGAGACTTCTTTTTTATTATTTATTAAATTTTACGATAAATTTCATATACTATATTTATTTCAGTCTTTGAGTTGCTGATTAAGGTAGCAGCTGGCCAGGATTGGACCTCTGCCATTCTAGACACGATTCCCATGCGCAAGGGAGCCAAGGCGAAAACCACTAACGGCAAAGAAGTGCAGGAGGTGGAGCAGGAACAAAGGGTGGAGCAGACGGAGGAAAAACTGGAAGCTGAGCTGAAGAATACATCCATAGTCGACATCAAACCAGAAACAAAATTAGACTCTTTGGACAGTTGACAGCAATCGAGATCGCAATTCGAGGTCTTTTTGATTTTTATTTCAGTTTCTTTTGTTTTTACAAAATCACATTTAGTTTTGTTTAGCAAATTAAACTATAACTTAAAATACATAGTGCAAATAATAACAAAAATACAAATAAAAGTTTGTTACTGGTTTTTATGTTTCAGTTATGTTCTTCAATGTACAATAATAGCCAGGGACAAAAATCGCTAGTAAATCGATGTCTTCATTATTTTTTATTTTGTTATTTTATGATTTGTGCACGTTTAATGTCGAGTGGGTGTTAAAAGATATCACTGGACCATATTTCTTAATATTTTCGTTTGATTTCTTATTTTGTCATTTTTTGGTTTTTAATTTGCTTTCAGTTTTTGATTTGGATTTAGATTAAGAATCTCTCCCTCACAACAACATCAATATAACCCATGCATGGGTGCCATAGAAATCACTATAGCGCTAAGTCGCGTAAAATTTGTATTGATGCACATAAGAAACTCGGCCCCATTCAGCGCTTTGCGATTGCTGTGGCACTCCTGATAGATGAGTGTATCTGTGGTATATTTACATTTTGCATGCTGTCGGTCGTTGTTTTTTCTGTTTGTGGTAAGTAGATAAGCACAAAAGGACTAAAAAATAAAATAGGAATAAGCCTAGGGTTATATAAATAAACATGTACAAAGCCATCAAAAAATTTTAATTTTTGGCTTAATTTTAGAGTAGTTTTGGACATTTAATTTAGTATACATCTATATATAGCACTAGTCTACAGCAAAATGTATGTATAACTGATCTCCACCAGGGAAAATATAACCGTTCAAACCGTCTGCTACGTCTGATTTTTTAACTTGTTTTGTCTGTCGATAAGTTGTGTTCTGTGTGTGTATGCACATGTATATTAAGATAATAGCTTTATAATACGTCAAATCGGACCAATCTTCGATTCGATCCAATCCTTACTTGAAGTCATCCGTTTCGAGTATCTCAAAGTCGCTCTCGTCCGAAGAATCTAAGGCGGTGACAATGCGCTGTTGCTCGCGATTTCGACTCGCATCGGTCGCATCACCGTCGGAATTAGCTGAGGCAGCACCACCTGAACCCCACTTCACCAGGCCAGACACAAGACTGGGGAGGAGCTTCCCGCTGTTTGACAAAAGCGCTTGAGCCTGGGTTTTTACGGCCAGGGCCATAAGCTCGCCAGCGGGATCGGGTCCAGCGGTTATTTGGCGCAACTGAGTGTTCCCACTTGCATCCACGGAGGTGTGGTCAGGGAACTGCAGCCCCTTGGAGAGGCTCTCTTCGGACGAGGATGACGTGGTGGACAGCGACGAATCGCGCTTGAAATGGCCCTTTCTAAAGTTCATATCTTCGTTCTCCTTGGCTATATGCGGTTGCTGCTGCTGTTTCTCTTGCCTTTTGGCCGCCATAGGTGCCAGATCATCATCTTCGTCGGTGGAGTGTTCATCGATCTCGGGTATCACGTCCGGAATCAGCAGCTCCGAAGGTATGTCGTCGCTGCGCTCGTCATCCTCCTCGTCCTTCGCATCGGTGGGTGAACTGATGGTGGCCACATCGCTTGCTAGCTCCAGCACAAAAAGATTTGACTCATTCACGTCCGGCAGAAACTCGTCCTCCGCCTCGGCCTCGGCCTCCAAGTTGTTGTAGTTAAGCTTCTCTGTCCATTGGAAGTCTGAAATAAAAGAATTTCTTGTTATTTTCAGGGACCGAAGGTGTTAGTGAGTTAGGTGAGCCACCCACATGAGCATGTGACATGTGTGGCTCTTTGTTTGGGACCGTATTCATGATGAGCTTTTTGTTATCTGCCACTTTGAAAATATATTATTAAACTCTTTACTCGTAAATTAAAAAGGTATAATAGGTATAAGTATGAAACAGGTAGAAGCACGCGTTTACGATTTGGCAGCCTACAAATCGTATCGGGAGAACGTAATCTTACAAGAATTCTAAGCAATATTGCCGAACAAACTTATAGTCTAGAATGGCGTTTTATGCCCCCCAAAACACAACTAAAAAGTAATGTTTTTTTTTTGGGACAATGATCATCAAAGCAACCACTAAAAAATTTTAAGCCACTATATATACTAGAATCTTCGGAAAGTATGTAACAGGAAACAGGAGACGTTTCCCTATGATATATAACGCCCATAACGCTAAAACCTGTCTAGCGCCTACATTTTTGAAGATTTGGGAAAAAAAGTAAATGGGATTTTCTTTTGATTATGATCATTATTATGCCGATTGTTTGAATCAGACCATTTATTAAAAAGTTATAACCAAATAAAGTTTGCAATCTTGGTTACCGCCGCTTTGCTGCTTACATACACATATGTAAGATATATCTCCATCTACCTCGCGTTCTTCTTAGGTAAGTAACGTGTATTTGATAGTCGATGGCATCGACTGTAACGTTCTCTTTTGATTTGTCACAAAAGTTGATCTGAAAACATTTTTATGTTGACTCTCTTTATTTACCTTTTAAGTGATGTTTTTGTTTGATTTTATTTACTGCAAACGATAAATGACTTCTTTCGAGAGTAAAATAGTTTTTCGAATCAAAAAAAACCCATTATTAAGCCGGCGTTGACTATACGCATTTAAAACCAAAAAAGGAAGCTATCTTTGGCAAGCCGAAGTTGCATACATTTGCAGGTCGTTTCCGTGGGAGCATTGTATGTACAGGGCTTTCCGACTTTTAGAAAACTAAAAATAAATTACAGAAATTGTAAGATAATGTTCCATTTTAATTTACTAATATAACGGTCTTTGTATTATTTGGACATTAATAGTCAGACCATAACGAGCGATACTGAAGTGATATACTAAACAGTTTGCTTACCGAGACTTTAATATTTCTAATTATTTTGGGAAAAAAGCGGTGAAATGCGCCAGGTTATTACTGAAAATACGCGTCAAATGACACCTCATTTGTTAAAATACAGTGTTCCGTTTAAAAGTTATTCCTAAAACAAGATTTTGTGGGATTTCTAAAATGAAAATGTTTGTCCCTTTGCTTGTGGGTTTGTATGAACCTTATTGTTTAAGGGTCCTAGGGACTATATGGGTGTAAAAAGAAACTCGAGAAAGAAAACTTTTGTTCTAAACTATTAAAAGCGCAAAAAAATGTCGTTGGTTGAATTTCCGATGTCTAAATACACATACTTTAATTAAGTTCGTAGAAAAAATGTTTTTATAATTAAGTAAGGGATACAGTAACCAAGTGGCCGTGGTCTTGTCGACGGAAATGTATGTATTGATTTCAATGCTAGCTCATATATGAGTACTACAGCAAACGTGAACATAACTCCTATTTTATAATTTATTTTTAAAACAAAAACTTCTGATTTCAAATAAAAACACCTCTTACCGGGGTAAGTGTCGTGACGATCGCACCTTTAACTTACAACAGTTGTAATACCAATTTTGTGACGAAAAATGCTTGTAAATTCAACTAAATAAATACACTTTGTAAAATGTTTTTATTCGGCACGCTTAAAAGCTTAAATATTTTGCTGAAGCGAGCAGACTTGCGCTGCGCAGGAAGCCCAAGAATCTGCGTGCTTAATACCAACATTCTAGCTCTTATAGTTTCCGAGTCCTCAACGTTCATGCGGACAGTCGTACAGACGGACATGTCTAGATCGACTCGGCTAGTGATCCTGATCGAAAATCTAGGCACTTTATGGGGTCGCAAACGCTTCCTTTTACCTCTTAAATACTAACCAATGAAAGTGTATACTAGTACTTTTACTCTACGAGTACCGGGTTTAAAAAACAGTTGTATAAAAATATACCAATAGTTCCTAAGACAGATATATGATAAAGTCGGTCTTTACATAATGAAAGCTAAATTTTGAAATCTTTAAATAATTATATATGTATATATAATAGATTATGATCAAACCCAACGAAGCTATAATTCATTTCATATTATTTTCTCATTAATTTTACGATCGTTCCTATGGCAGATATACATAACAAGGAAGAATGCTATAGTCGAGTACTTCGACTATCAGATACCCGATACTCAGCTAAAAGGGACCAAAGGGAAATGGATATATGCGAGCAGCAAAGCGAGATTGTAGAAGGTAATAAGATTTAAGCGTTATGGGCGTTAGAGTTGGCATGGCAAACTTTTTTTTGGGTCAATCGATAGGATATGAAAATTGTGGGCCCCACATTGTTGGGCGGTTTGTGGGCGTTAGAGTGGGCGTGGCAAGGCTACGGAATCTAAATCTGAAATCCTGATTCTCTATCTTTGATAGTTTCCGAGATATATTGAGATCGCGGGTAGGTGGCGCATTTCAATCTCGCTTTGCTGCTTGCATATCTCCATTTCCCTTTTGTCCCTTTAGCTGAGTAAAGGGTATCTGATAGTCGAGATACTGGACTATAGCGTGCTTCCTTGTTTATTTTTTTCTCAGCTGATAGACATGCCAGACGGGCAAAGATACGTACGTCTAACTTCTTTGCTTTGCGCACTTCAAAAATGGCAATCGTTAAAATAGAACACGAATACCTAATTGGATTGCCACTAAGTGGAGAAGCAAGCCGTTCAAAAATTGCATGATATCCTGAACGCGTGAAATTAAATTCATGCATTTATTTGTTCTCAGCTGATAGAGATGTCAAATGTAATATTTTTGACCGCGCAAAGCCAATTGGGGGAAAGTCGGTAAAACGGAACTAGGCAACGAGATTACATTGAAAAGGGGCAAAGGGATAACGGGGAAAAGACGGGGAAAAAAATTGTATTAGTTTATTTAGTGTTAAATCCGCAAAAGTAAAAAAATTGTAAATATTTCGATTGTTTATATTAATTTTATGGAGACAAAATGGTGTTAAAATCTTTCTTACCATTAGCGAGATGGGCCTATCGAGAAAAATGAATAGTGGCTGATGCGCTATCAGAAATTTTTTGAGGAATCCTCGAGATTCCTCTTGCTCTACCTTGGCAGCTATCGTTAATAATAAGGTATCAAAACCGACAGTTTGGAGAACTCTGCAACCTTGCAATTACATAAAGCTATCAAAAATGATCAAATCTCCTCATCTTTTGCCTCGACACATGAAGGCTCGACTTGATTTTGCCGAAAAACATATACACACCGACTAGATTACGGTGGTAAAATACTTGTTATTAAAAAAATTGTTCATTAATAGTCTTTAGTTTATAGATTATTTTTTCCGATGATAAAAAGGGGAATCTTGATGGCAGCAATTATTATTAGAGAGATTTGCGAAATGATCCTACTTATTTTACTAAGCGCAACTTCGGTGGAGGCTCCGTGATGGTGCGGGGGGCGTTTACATCAAAAACCACGCTTGATTTACAATTCACAACATCAAAAATTAAGAGCAACCAATACATACGAGTATTAGAAAGAAATCTAAGTCTAGCCTTTAAAAAAATTTAACAGAGTCGATGAAAAAAAGGTTGTTTTGTGTTGTCAAAGCTAAGGGAGATCCTACTGACTACTAAAAACTGAAACCTAACTATATATTGTTCATAAAGAGTTTCTATAAGCCTTAAATAAAAGCTGTTTTATAATTATGAAACACCCTAAAATTAAGATTTTGTTATTACTTGTGCCACGGAGGAAAATACTATGTTGTTTTCACATGAAATTCTTTGTTTTGTTAAACCTGTAAACTGAAATATAAGCACATTCACTTTAACACGACTTTTAATAAAAGAATTATTTAAGAAATTGATGGTGTCTTGTAGTTTTGAAACACACATTAATTTACACATCCGCAATGTTTTTTTTCGGATTCGATATGACTTTAAATCGGGTTTTTATGCCACTTGGAACACTTTTGGTCAACATTGTTATATCATGTGCACCCTTATAGAATTACGATTACTTAACTTAATACATTTCTTTAATAAAGTTTTTTTAAAATATATATTAACTTTTGTTCAAATTGAAATCAGGCCTGAATATCATTTTAGCATGATAGTTCACTTCCTTCCTTGCTTACAACATTATTATTACATTGACCGCTTTTGTGATAATGTTTAAAATATGGGGGACATCTCCTTATCTGCTATAGAAATCACAATATCCCCTCTGTAGGTTCACTGACCACTTACCCTTGTGCTCGATCTTCAGCAGCTTGAAGTTGTACTTGGTGGAGACAAGGGCAGAGACGACTAGGATGGTCAGAACCAGCGTGGAGCCGGAGATAAGGTGGCCTAACACCGCGAGGGTGCCCAAGCAGCTGCTGCTGACCAAGCAGAACATGCTGGGACTGCTGTGGCGCCAGTCGTTTACCTTCTGCAGCCAGCCGTTAACCTTGTCGCGCAGCTCGTCCGTGGGTACAATCCGAAAGCTACAGCGTGTCCAGTAGATCCAATAGGCCAATAATCCCAGGAATAGCACGCCCAGCGGTCGGACCCTGGAATATCAACGTTGCGGAGTTATATTTTTAGAGTATTTATTTATAGCTGTGGATAAAATGCAGCCGAACTGCAGGGGACAAATGCTCGATGATTACTGCGTGAGACAACCTCGGGTCTCGATGATTTCTATTATGTTTAGGGCAATAATTAATAACAGCAGAGTGGTAAAACATGTTCTAGCAGGAAGCATACCTAAATCTTCTCCCCAAACAACAAAGCCGGTCAAACCTGGTTGAACGAACGAGTGTATTTTTGGACTTTTAATTTCTATTAAACGCCAAAATGTTTTTACAGTGCGTCTCAAAATAATAAGTCTGAGTTGTGATATTATAAAATTTTGAAATGAGTTATCTGATAATAGAAAATAGTTTTTTTTTGTTATTAAACTTATAATTAGGAGTCATTCAAGTTTATATGTACATATGTCGGAGGCCATTCAATTGGGTTACGTTCCCTATTTAAAGGAGTCTTAGCAATATTTGCAAACAAACATATGGTCTTAAATTGCCCCCCAAACGCAAAACAAAAATAGTTTATCAAAGTAGCCAGCGCATCTGTATTCTATATTTCAAACACCCTTTTCTCTGCTTAAAATCAAGAACCGTAACGATAAATCATTTATTTTCAAATTAGAAACAAGAGAAAAAGCCTCGACTATTAAATACCCGTTACTCAGCTAACCAAATTCAAAATAATTATACCTTCTAGTATACTAGTACTCCTAGTATAGTCGAGGCACTTCACTATAGCGTTCTTCATTGTTTATCAATGTTAATTTCACAATGTTTTTTTGATTACTTAAGCTGCTTAGAAACTGATTTAATTAATTAATTTAGCTGCAAGGTTATTTACTCTTCTGTAAGCCGAAACTAACTTTCTTTATTATAACCGTTACTCGTAGAGTGTAAGGGTATATTGTATTTGGGAAAAGTATGTAAAAAAAAGCGTTCCCGACCCCATAAAGTATATACATATTCTTGATCGAGATCAGGATCACAAGCCGAGTCGATCTAGCCATGTACGTCTCTCCTTCTGTCCGTGTGAACGCTGTGATCTACGAAACTATAAGAACTAGAGAGTTGAAGTTTCATATTTTGCTTCCTTATCTTCCTAAACAGCAAAAGCTTGTTACATATCGATTGACCTAACAAAAAATTATGACGATTATAACGCTGTCTGCCTACATTACCATATATTGAATTCGCGTGTAGGTGGCGCTTTACAATCTCGCTTTACTTTACTTTACCTTTAGATGAGTAAAAGGTATCTGATAGTCGAGGCACTCGGCTTTAGCGTTCTTCCTTGTCTTTTAAATTTTTCAATATTCACCTACGGTATATGTGTACATATGTATAAGCAAGCGGTAAGGCTGCGTGTTTATATCATTTAATTCCTTTTTGGTTAATTTCCTCAGAACGCTTTAAATGGGTGGAGAAGGGTGTGGTCGCTGTGCATGGGCATGGTGCGACACTTTTTTGTACAAATCAGTATTTATGTAAAAAGCAGGAGCGACGTCAGTCGAAGCAAAGGTGTTTGCACGTACAGACTACAGCTGGGGCTAAGTTAATAGTACTAATAAACTAGTTGCAAATAAACTAATTGAAATTTAATGTGTTTTCTATTAATTTCACAATTCTACTAATTGTGTTATTATATGATTACAGACAATAAAAAATATAATTATTTTGAGGCCCTTTTAACGTTTTTTTTTTAAGATTCTGCATAAAACAAATTATCATCAATGCATTATTTTCACCTCGAGCTTACTTCCAGAATTATTTTATAACGGATATTTAAAAAGGCAGAATTGTTTAAGAAAATAAATTATTTTAAGAGAAACACGAAAGCATGCCAACCCAAAAACTATAGAAAAACATTTGGAACATATTTGCTTAACTTTGTTTAACTAACTAACGAGTATAAAATTTTCAAATAATTTTCTCTGACAACCAATATTCTAAGTTTCTCATTTTCAGCACATACTCTCCTGGTGCACAGTCCACAGTAATATGTCCATCTTTCCGTCTGTCCTTCCGTCTGCTGGTTTTACACAAACTTATCTTTTAATTTTAAGGCTATCGGGATAAAACTTTTTCAAGTCTTCGTTTACCATGGTAAGAGCTCAATAATATGAATAATCGGAAAAATAACAGAAAAATTACAATGTAAGTGAAGAAATGATGAATTTTTAAGTAATGTTGCTAGCTTTTATAATATTTGTTTAAAAAAATGTAAGTCAACTTAATTCTGAACTATTTAACAAATTGTATATCCCATAGCTAAAAAAGAATATAATAAATATCAACGAAACTACTTTTTTATTTACTTGTTTCCCCATTTGTACATTTTTTTTTAAATTTTGTTCTAAATTTCAAAATATTAAAAAAATTGTGTTCCCAAAAATTGAAGATTATATGTCAAACAAGAAAGGAAGCTAGCTTTGGCAACCCGAAGTTTCTATAGGTCTTTCCCGCGGGAACATTGTATGTACAGAACTTTCCGATTTTCGAAAACTTAAAACTAATTACACAAATAGAAAGATAATGTTCCATTTCAATTTACTACCGTATGTGTTTACCGAAAATGAAATATAACTGTCCTTGTATTTTTTGACATTAGTTATCCGATCGTTTCTATGATAAAGTCCTATATGATAAAGTCGTCGATTATTATTATTTTTAATTTTCTAAAAGTCGGGTAGCTCTGTATAAAAACTTCGGCTTGTAGAAGTTAGGTTACTTTCTTGTTATTCCAGTAATTTTGGGCAAAGGTAGTAGAATTTAGTACAATAGTACCCTTACGTAGTGTATGTTTATTTTTTAAAGATTTTGCAAAGAAATTTTTTGGTATGTTTTGGTTTTAATTATATCTTAAGTTGCGCTTAACCAATTTAGGTGATATATGTTTTAGTTTTCAATTATAATGCCACCCTCTAATTTTAATAATAATATCTTCTAAGCTAGTGTAGTTATTATGGGAGCTTTATAATATAAGTTGTACAATCCTGCTCGTTCCTACTTCTATAGTATCTGCAAGAGAAAGAAGACATACTCTATAGGGTCGGAAAAGTCTTCTTCACTGCGTTGCAACTATTGCGTTCATACGGACAGGCAGCCATACGGACAGGCGGACATGGCTAGATCGACTCTGCTACTGATGCTGATACAGAACATACATACATATGAACATATTTGTAAGCTTTATAGGGTCGGAAAGACTTCCTTCTACTAACGATTACAATACAAATGTTAAACAGGGAATGGGTAGGGCTCCTTATGGTTAAATATAGGACATACCAGGCCATGAGGATGACTGTGACGATGGCTGTGGCTCCACAGTGGAGCGTGGACCTTGAAGGTCGGGGCAGGGCTTGGAACATATTCAATTTGCTGCGCTTTAATTTATTCTGATTCTTGTTGCCTTCCTGGCTTTCAACTTCGGTTTTCGGCTCCCGCTGTAAGCGGGCTGTGTTATTTCGCTACGCTATTCCAGCGGACTTCCGTTTCACTTTCGATTTCCGCTTTTGTAGTGCCGAGACAATCGGTTTACCGTTAGGTCAGGTTCTGTATCAGCTGTGCGCATGGGCGGAGAACGGGTTTCTCTCTTTCTCCTTCTATCCCTCCGTCCTTTCTTTGTTCCCTTTGTTTGGTCTTTGTTAAAACATGCGGCTGTTATGTAGAAAATAAAATAATTTTTATTACTTTGGCAAGAGAAATTTTTCGGCTACACGCCAAATATTTTTGCCATATCTTTTCGATTTTTGAGGGCCTGTCTTACTCACACAAGCAACCTTGTTTTTGCAAAATAAAAACTGCGTTGTGCAGCTGGAAAATGTGGTCATGTTATTGCGACTTTTTAAACGAGTGAATAACCATTATACATTATGCATATGTTTATATTTGTAAAACCCATCTTTGCGAGTTGCTCGACAATATAAACTAACGAACAAAAAATTCGGAGAACCAATTTGTTTCGTTCATTTGTTTTTATTGTCGGTTAGTGTATCGTTTTTGTTTACTGCTTTGCTTACCGGCTGCGTGCGAAAGAGATGGCACTCAAGCGTGGGAGGAAGAGGCACGCGTGGGAAAGAGAAAAGAGACCGAAGCGCGTGGAAAAGCTTGATAGTTGTAATAATAAAAACAAAAACGGAGCACAAAACTAACGCCCAACAGCAACATCTAACGCCATAGAATAACGAATAGCAAGCGAAGTTGTTTGGCCTTCGATGTCTTTTTCTATTGCGTCGCAGAATGATATACAAACAAAAACAATATCACAATCACACAAACAGCGTATGTGCACATAGATACACAGTTATACATATGTGCGAAACTTGGCGCTTTTGTTTTTAACTTGCTACACTTGCACCGCGGGGTAAGGAAGAGGGTAAGGGGTAATAATGACTTGGTATTGCACTAAAAAAAGGAAAACCTGATCAAATCTATTTTTGCAGACATTACACTCGTCTTTGCACACACACGCTCGCACGCACTCTTTACACTTACAACGCAATTTTGAAAAAAAGACAATGTAGAGCAAAGTAACCCGAATATACATTTAAATTTAAGTCAACGCTTATTTTCTATCACGCTTTTATCGAAAACGTTTTTCAACCCGTATTTTAACTACTTAGACAACAAATAACACACAATAAATAAATGCAAACAAAAATCGACTAACATGTATACACATCCAAGTGCTACAAATTTTGCATACTTTTTGTTAAAGCTGGCGGTATCCAAAACCAAATAACTTTTAACACTGTAATGCTGATTTCCCGACTTCCAAACAAATTCGATCGCGCCACAACGCAATGATAAAAAAAATACATCAGATTCCGTTAAGAGCTGGGAAAATGTCGATTGTCATTGATTTCGATGTTCACAATAGTTTTTGAGAAAATTTTAAAAGGAATACCCCAAATATAATGAAGAACATCTAGCTAGAAAATACCAACAACGAATTATGGGCATATGATTTATTAGTTTAATGCTGAAAAACGATATATTTATGGTATTTCATTTATATTTGACCTTAATGTCCTTCTTAAGCCTAGTAGTCACGTCGAAGAAATCCGTACGAGGGTCTTTTGGCGTGTTGCCAGGCTTCTACAAATAATTTTAATAAACATTTGATAGCTGTCGGACATAAAATGCAATATTTAATTACTACTGTGGGCAAACAGTAAGATGAACATGTTTCTTGTTTTTTTATTTAATTTTCTTGGTGTGGTGCAGCATTTACGTAAAGCAGTTCGTCTAAAAAGACCAGAATTATGGACAACAACTTTTAGTTTTTGCATCACGATAATGCACCGCCTCACACTCACTCGTTCTTCGTGACCATTTCGCCAAAAAATCGTTCCGCAACGACCGTAATCGCCTGATTTGGCTCCGTGGGACTTCACGCTATTCCCAAAACTCAAGAGACCACACCGGGAAACGCATTTTGAGTCGATTGAGGAGATAAAGTCCGAAGAAGGTGCTAATGCATATAGCTGAAAGGGACTATTTGGCATGTTTGTTAATTTTAACCACACATAACCGTTAATCGTAGAATGAAAGGGTAATGTATAATCCGACCCTGTTAAGTATATATATTCTCAATTCGGATCACTAGCCCACTCGGTCTAGCCATGTCAGTCTGTCCGTATAAACGGTGAGATCTCGGAAAATTTAAGAGATAGACAGTTCGTATTAAGCATGCAGATTCTAGGGCTTCCCACGCATCGCAAGTTTGATTTATCGGAGTTCCACGCCTACTCAAACGCCCACAAACGTCCATCACGGTTTTTCCTCCATAAGCAACACACGTGTAAGAAAAAGACGGGAAAAGTCGCTACAACTCGTTGCAGTGGAAAATGGGACCGAACACGCTAATCGATTGAGTATTCCACCGTTTTATTCAGTATTTTGTGTTCGTATATTTTCGGGACTTTTTTAAGAAGGAAATGCATTTGAACTGCAATAGGGCCGTTACAAGGAAATTGTTGTTGGTGCAGCCCTAAGAAGCCTTCCAACGGAAGGAACCTAGCAACTGATCTCATCTTGAAAATTATTATTGCTATGCTCTTTTTAAGGATATGACCAACCTACAGCCTATGTCCTTTTTGGCAAGAGCTGGCACCTGTTGCCATTATTCCCAAAAAGTATTTACAGAAAAAGCCATTTGAATTTTTATAGTTTCAACAAATCTTTATTATTCTTGGAGTTTGAGATGAGCTAAGGATATACCAGAAAAATACCAGGTATAAGGAGTGACTTCGATGAACGCTGTTATACCCAATTCACACAGCCGCTTAAAACCGCTGTTACAATTTTGCAGATTCCTGATCACATGGAGAATCGTTGAAGCGAACCAACTGATCGGCATAAGCAACCCGTATCCGAAGGGGGAGGACATAAAAATTCAGTTTCTCCGAAAGAAATTGAAAGAAAACGTCAAACTAAGTATGTACAATTTGAACACAAAAATGTTTAGATCACGGTATAAGAGTCGGTTATTGATAACCTATATTGGGGTTGCAAGAATTTCTTGTTGATATTAGCCGATATTTAATTTACAATCGTAATTTTATTTTAAAAACTTTTGTTTATAAAGTAATAGTCAAAACTTACACTATTTAAAAAACATTTGAATTGGAGTTTTGAAGTGGAGTTTTACTGCTAAAATATTTTTAAAATGTCAACGTTATTACGTATTATAAGCGAATAGAAATAAATAAAATAAGGAGAATACAAATTAGTCACTAATAACTGATCCATCAGTAATCAGTTATCATGTTGTTTTGCTAAGCGTGGCCATTATCTGGATTACTCTTTTAAAGGTTTCTTGCGTTTTGGCGGGAAGTCGCTGGTTTTCCCAGTGCTATCGTTATTTATCATCTCTAATAGAAAGAACCCAGCTAAAACATAGGCATTGAACGAACATTAAAAAAAAACGAAAATTAGTAGCATAGCTGTCTTTTGAGTACACATTTCGACTTTCCCAACAAAATTCCCAGTAATTAACACCGATGGATGCCACTTGGTAAGTGTGTTTTACGCGTTTCTTGGGTGATTATATTGCTTATAATCACTGTTTTTGCCTAAGATAATTGAGGTTTATATTTCAGTAGGGCCATGGAGCAGCTACTGGCGGCCGTGGAGTTGAGCCGGAGCCAAAATGAGGATACCACTCCCACGGCCAACACCGCCATATCAATCTGGAGCGCCCCTTCCGAGGGCAGTGCCTCTAGTTGCGTGGACCCCGCCTCCTTCCGGTTTCGGCTGGATGGCCAAGCCATTTTGCCACCACTGGTGAGTCGAAAACTTGGCCAGGGAGTGGCACCTATTCAAGCGTAACTCACTCACTATGTTCCAGATCACTAGTGCCAAGAGACGCGAGGTGCAGCTGGCCCGCCAGAAAGCTTTGAAGCTGGAGGAACGCTACCGCCTGGCCAGACACTCGGCGGGATCCGACATGGCCAGTCTGGGGAGCCTGTCCCAGACGGAGACTTTCATCTACGACAGCACTCGAGGCCAGGCACGTCCTCAGACTCCTGTCCTAGACATTCAGATCCCTACCATACAGGTTGATCCTCCCACTCCCCAGCCGCCGGTGGAGCCAGTGGAAAACTTGTCCCCCAGGCGGCACAACCGAATTACCGATCGCATCCTGCAGTTTGAACAGTCGGGACTGGGTAAACTTCTACCCAAAGATCATGAAAAAAGGATCCTGCGTTCTAGTACCAGTCCATTGATAGCTGAATGTAAGGAGCAAAAGCAGCAGGCTTTAAAGAAGACGGAGTTAGGGACTTCACAGCCAGAGCCAGCTAGTTTTCAGCGCTCACGAAGCTTTACGCTGGAGGAACCTTCTCAGGTTCTCGTAGAGCATATGCAGCGGGAGGCCCAAGCGGTCAGGCCTAGCCAGAGTTTGGTAAACTTCCAAAGGCAGACCATAGAGTCCCAGGCCAAGCGGGTGAATCGCAGTTCCAGATGCAACAGCAGCAACATCGCCACCGCCACAAACACTACAACCAATGGCAGCAGCTGCTCCAGAAGAGATCGCGAGGTGGAACGTATAATAGAAAGGGCGTTGGGCGAACATGGTCCTCTTGAAGCTAGCAGGAAAGCAGGAGTGCGCAACTACCTGCGTAGCCATCGGGAGCGAATGAATCAGTTGGTCCTTTACCAGGAGGAGGAGCGTCGTCGCATGCAGACGCAGTTTGATCAACAGCAGCGCCAGCTCATTGAGGAACTGTGTGCTGAAATTGATGTTTCCTCGAGCACCGAAAATCCTGATGGACTAGTGTCGCAGAGCACCAGTACGGGAGACCTGCAATGTGGCTTATCCACGCCGTCAATGTCCTTTTCGAATGCCACGCCACGCAGCTTCCTAAATATGGATGACTTTCTCACAATGGAGGACAGCGGCCGAATGGCGGCTTCTTCTTCCGCTCGGAAGAGGTTGTTTAGTCCGAAAGTATCTCTGGGCTACGACTCGGAACCTCAGCTGCTTGGGGAGACAAGTGCTCCCAGCACACCGCGATCGTTACCACTCAGGAACAGCAGTTTAACCAACAGTAGGCGAAGCGGGCAAGTTCCCAGGAGACGATCGCAAACCGTGAGCAGTAGTTCCAGGAAATCGAACATTGCTGCAGGTCGCGAAGTGATCAAATCACCAGCGAAGGTACTGCACGGACGACCAAAGAGTTCACCAGGAAACGTCAGCTCCACTCCACCAAAAAGGGGCAACGCTCCAGTAAGAAGCAGTTCATCGCCCAAGCAACTGAGAACTGTAAGTTATCCAAACTAGTCCGTTAATTAGCGTTATTTTCTTTACTTAATGCCAAAGGTAAAAAGATAATCTTTTAATGCGAAAATAAGCAAGTAATATCGAACTTATGTATGAATTAAAACAGTCTAACTCTTATTTTCGTAAAGTGAAACCTTGGCTGTATTATCGGGTGCATGCAATTACTTAATATTAAAATAAGTAATAACAAGTATGGGCGAGTTTGTGAATCGTCACTGGGAACAAAAACAATTTTTAAAAATTCAAAACTATATGAAAGGGTATACATGTTCTTCTTGCGTAAAAAACAATGCAGAAGAAAATATTTATATTTGATTTCATTTTAAACGCTGTTTATGCGCTCTTACGTAAAACGTATATTCTGAGAATGTCGTAGAATAAGCCCATTACATATCTTTTCTTCCCCCTGGGTTTGGATGAAAAATCAAGCCACATGTAACTATTTAGTTGTGAAAATTGTATTGAAGATGATTGGCTAGTCTTAATGATTTAATTAAAAAGAAATTCGAAATTCCTAAAAATAAAACAAAAAGATAATATGTCAAAAAACACCGAAGCTATGCTTTGATTCATATTATTTTCCCACCAATTTTCCGATCGTTCCTATGGCAGCTATATGGTATAGTCGTCCGATCTTAATAAAATTAAATTCAAAATTCAGAACTAATTAAAAAATGTTAAAAAAACCAAAGGTATAATAAAAAAAAAATGTTTTTCCGATTGTTCCTATGGGAGCTATAAGATGTAGTTGACCGATCCGGATGGTTCCGACTTATATACTACCTGCAAAAGAAAGAAGACTTTTGCGAAAGTTTCAGCACGATAGCTCTAAAACTGAGAGACTAGTTTGCGTAGAAACGGACGAACAGAAGGACATGGCTAGATCGACTCGTCTAGGGATGCTGATCAAGAATATATATACTTTATGGGGTCGGAAACGTCTCCTTCACTGCGTTGCAAACTTCTGACTGAAATCATAATACCCTCTGCAAGGGTATAAAACCCTTTTTTTTGAAAATACTAGAGCTGAGTTAAAAATCCACGATTGTCCACGAGGCGGGGAG